TTAGACTATAGCTCATATGTAAGTCTGAGCTCGGAACCATGCAGTGTACGTCTTTGGAGTTTGCATGAGCTCCATGATGCCGAGGCCGTCATCAGGCTTCGAAGGTTTCTTCTTGATTTCTGCACGCTTCTTGGCAAGGAGGCCTTGCCATCCACCACGCAGAGCTGCTGGGAAGTCCTTGGGTGCCTGCATTTTGGGGATGTCTAAACTTTCATCATGGACCTTAATGGCTGGGCTGGGAGCCTCCTCGTGTGGCTCCAGAGTTTGATGCCTTCGCTTTCGGGAATGTGCTGGGGTCGGGAGAGTCTCAAGTTCTTTCTCCTCGGACTCGCTCAAATCCAGCTTGCTGTCCTCGGCAGCCTCTGCTGCCAGAGACATGGAAGGCTTGACAGGTTTGGCCGTCCTGGCCGGTTTGGATGGCTGGATTGCGGAGACGGGCTTTGAGGCCGGCTGTGGCGCTGGTGGCGCTGCATCTTGCAGCGGTGCTGCCGCACTGAGCAAAGGTTCTGCAGAACTCCCCGCATCTGCTGCTACATGGCGCGAAGCTGCTACAGCTTGCAGCTGTCTCAGCTCGGCCATCTGCTGTTGCATCTGCTGCTGTTGTTGCTGCAGCTGCTGGGAAACCTCCAAGAGGCGAGCCAGCTCAGCAGAAGTTGCTGGCGCGTGGCTGTCCGTTGCAGGGACATCTGTACCATGAGGCTTCGTGGCAGCAGCCGGGACCTGGACCTCGGCCTGCTTTGAAGCCATGGCTTCTGCGGCACCCTCGGCTCTGCCGATGAGCTCCAGCGCCTGCTTCACAAGCTGTTTTCCTGCAACTTCTGTACGATTCATCACGGTTCGCCCGAGGCCACCTGGACTGCCAAATTAAAACTTACAGAACTCAACAACATTATGGAACCACTGAACTCCTGCGGGTTGCTATAGGAGAGCTACTAGGCAACAAGCAGCACTACACGTTTTTAAAAAAAGTTCCCGAATTAGGCATAGCTGCAGACACCCGCAGCATCAGAGAGAGCTGCATTAGTCTGCGCAACGGCAGCATCCAACACCTCAGGCGGCAGCGAATCCGGACTCGCTGACTTCTCACGTTTCGTTGGTTCTTCCGGGGCTGATAAACTTTCTGGTTCTAGTAGGGGATAAGGAGATATACACAGACATATATACATATACATATATATATATATATATTCCCTATATGATCCCTATGTAATAGGGATGGATTCTATATCTAATCCTTATATAATTAGGATTATTTGTATATAATCCTAATATAACCCCTCTATATAACATATTCACTTATTCCCCACTAAACCCCAGTAAGTAAGAGCAGCCATGCCAGGGCTTGTTTCAGAGATTAGAAGTATGGGCCCCTAATACGAGCCCTTAGCTGTTGTAGGGAGATTCTAGGGACCGCTACGGGTACATGCAAGGTATATAAAGATTGCAGGGGTTAAGGGCTAAAAATAGGGGCCCGTAGTTTCAAAGTTAGATAACATTGTTGCTGCAAGCCCAGTACGCCTTTATTTTCGCCAAGGCTTCATCTGGGTCGTACTGATTGGCATCGGTATCTTCTGAACATCATCAACATAATGTTTTTTTTTGCTCTTCATTTAGGATGCCACTATGTACGGGCCTGTGGGAATGAATTGTTCACAATCCTGGCTTTTCTGCGGTAGCCTCTGTTCACCTACCTGCGTCTATGATCTATGCGGTGTCCCTGGCCTATACAGCATTGCAGCTTCTTTGTTGTCGTGCCATACGTCCCCAGAGAAAAGGCTGCTAGCCCTTGCCCCGAGAGGTTGCGAACGCGATTCTGATCTGCTGCCTCGACTATGCTTCGTGTAATCACTGGGCCCCACTGACGCTCGGTGCTGTTTGCTCGACCCGAAGTGGACGCAGTGGACGCAAAACTTACCATCCCAAACGCACAACCCACAAATCCTAGAACCCGTGAAGCCTAGCCCGCAGCCCCTCCCAGAACCCTAAGGCGCTAAGTAGGTCCTGAGGCCCTGGCTTGGCGGCCGCTGCGCGCGGCGAGGCCCTTGGCACGTTGCGCTGCTTGAGCCTCGGCGGCCTTCAGCTGCCGCGCCTCGGAGGTGGTTGAGAGGTACCCGTACTCTTTGGCCCTTGCAATGGAGAATTACATGGAAAAGAAACTTGAATATTAACAGAACCTGGGGTTTCTCGTTTTAGGGGTTACTTTCTGGTTGCTGGTGGGGAAGGAAGGAATGGAAAAGAAAGTGGAATTCACTCTATCATGGGGGATTTAAAGGGACTACTATGCGATGGTTGCTATAGGGATCTATTCCTCTGTTCACCGCTAGCAACCAGTCAGTTATAGAAGTCTCAACGTCCGTGGGTGCTTCCATGCAATTCCCGTAACCGCATGAGTTTCGTGCATCCGTACCACAGGGTAATCTTCATTGAAGGGACCCCACAAGAAATCTCTTCCCAAATGTAAGGCAGGCAGTACAGTAATTGCCGCTGTCTCATGGTAGGATTTTTTCTTGTGTCCCGCATTAGACAGCAACATGTACACTCAGGACTATTCCTCAAGAACCCTATTTACTTTCACCACGAAACCATAATCAACACCCTACTTCATTCAAGCCTGTTCAGTGTTCCCTGAAAGCCTATTGCTGGTGGTTAGGAGGGAATAAGGGACCATGACCCTTGTATTATACATTTCCATTATTCCCTACTTACCCTTCACCCGAAACCATTAACTCCATACATATGCCCTTATTCACTTCTAACCCCCACTAAGCTAAGCTGAAAAGCCCATGGCGGACCTCTACTGTAGCATCTCCGTGTCCCATTGTATTGTAATTGTTTCCATGTTTTTCCCATTTCCCTCATATAACCCCGATATATTCCCTAAACCCTAAAACCTTAAACCCAACATATTCCTTAAACCCTAAATCTTAAACCCTAACCCCTGAACCTGTAGTACCCCCCATATTCCTAAACCCTTTCTGAAAGAGGACTCTCTGACATGCCGCCAGCCTGCAGCCTCCATTAGGAATAAACCCTGAACCCTAAACCCTATGGTACTCCCATAGTCCCTAAACCCTAATCCCTAAACCCTAAGCCCTAAACCCAAAACCCTAAACCCTAGACCCTAAACCGTAATCCCTAAACCCTAAACCCTATGGTACTCCCACAGCCCCTAAACCCTAATCCCTAAACCCTCTAAATCCTAAACCCTATGGTACTCCCATAGTCCCCATTCTGCCGGACCTTGAGCATCTCGAGCTCGGCCGTCGGAAGCGAGGCCATCTGCAAGGTGAGGTTCTGCTTGCTGAGGGACAGCGCTTTCCTTGGTAGGGTTTAGGGTTTAGGGGGACTTCTGGGACTAGATATAGGGTTTCAGGTTAGTAGGGTTAGTAGAGAATAATATGGGACTATATATATACATATGATATAAGTATGAACATAAGCATAGGTATATACGTGTATTTGTACATATATAGAGGGTTTAGGATTAATTGGGTTAATGAGGTTAAAAGGGAGTAATGGAAAAGAACATGGAAACTACTATAGTATATTGGGGTTATATTACAGGGAATATTAAGTTTCCTTGCTTCTTCGTCTCGGCCCCCTTTCTGCATGTTGGGGAAGATCTAGGACTCTAGGAGTAGAAGAATAAGTCGCAGAAGATTCTGGGAAGGCTTTGGAGTAACAGGAGCAGAGCAATCGGTAAAGTCATAGCAGCCGTGACTGTGGCAATACTGAAGGCGGTGTGGTGGTACAAAAGCAGGAACCATGTATCACATACGTACACAGCCCAGGATTCACGTACATCTCTTGGAAAACACACTGCCGCTTCCTTGGCCTGGCCCCTTTCAGCCACACCCAGCATTCATTCCAAGCAAACTTTAGAGATCGGCTGCTTATGTAGGTGCATGCCCAGCATTGTCAGTCTTCTTTGGGCTAGTACTCGCAAGATAGAGACTGGTGATAGCATAACTGCCATTTCTGCCATGATGGTTCTTGCTTGCTGAGCACAGTGAGTACTCAGAATATCGGCAAATATATCATGAAGCACTCGTGTGACTGTGGGAATTGACATGCCTCTAACTTGTTTTTCCCTACCTAAATCAGACCTGCATAAATTGTAGCTACTAGAGCTGCGAAGCGACTGCTCCTTGGCATCGCCAAGCACTTTCCTCACCGCCTCGAGGCTTTTCCTGGGTTCTCTTCGGCAAGCTGTAGCAAAGCGCAAACAAAAAGAAATCCTAGGAATCCTAAGCCCTAAACCCTAAGAAATCCTATGACTTACTATGAGGATCGTTTACCTTCAACTCCCCAAAATCCTCCTCCATCTTCCTCCTATAGCTGTAATCCCCTCAGACAAGATTAAAAACCAAAAATGCTAGCAATCAGACTACGGATAGAGCCTCTCCACACGGGGAGATCCTCAATAACCCTAAATCCTTATCCCCCTGAACCTTAATCCATCCATCCTTAATCGTCTCCCAGATTCTGCTCCCCGAAGGCCCAGCTTGAAGCCTGTGATGAGAGCTGAGACCTGAATGAGGGGGTTTTAGGTGTAGGCTTTATAGGATGTAGGATATAGTGTCTGGGGTTTAGGGTTTAGGGAATAGCGTTTGGGGCATAGGGTATAGCATTTAGGTTATGATAATGTTTGGGGTGTAGCGTTTAGGTTGTATAGAGATGACATAAGGATGCAGGATACATAGCCCCAAGAATGGAGAATCACATGGAACACGAAAAAAATACTGGGCTTATGTAGGAGTATAGGACTGTAGCTTGGGAAATAAGGAGATGTTAGGCACTCCAGCCCCTAAACCCTAACCCCATTAAAGTCGTTTCCATTCTCTTTTCCATTGTCCCTATCTAACCCCTATATACACCCTATAACCCCTATATAACCCATCATAGTCGTTTCCATTTTCCATTATCCCTACATAACCCCAATGTAATGCCTATATGATCCCTATATAATCCCTGTAATTCCTGTAGTTTCCAGTTTTCCTTTATAATTGGGACCCTCAGTCTGGGAGTGTGTCCCCAGGGGACGGCCGACAAGGTGTAGGATCTGAAAGGGGGATGTCTCCAGGATTCTAGCTGGGACCCGCGACGGCTTACAGCCCATGTAGAAGTTTGAGTAATTACCAGTATCACTTCGAGGTCTACTTGAGGTACCCTATACCATAGGCAGATAAGGAGTCTATGATCATAAGCCTGGGCAATTTTCAGGCTACATTAGCCTTCGTCCGTACATCTGTCTACCTCAGGAGGACCATATAGGGCAGGTCCTCGGGTTGAAGGGCCGGATGTTTTGAGCATGCTGCTGTAGCAACCAATGTCGAAAGGGCAGCGGCAGAAGCCTACTGTCATGCTCATCCCGGAGTAGCCCGCTGAATAGCCATCTAGTGTGCTTACTTATCTAGCTCCATGGCGCTACCTGCTCTCCAGTTCTGTGGGCTCTGTGTTGTCTCAAACTATAGCTATTGTGACAAGGGCAGCACAATCTAATCTTCCCATCAGTCAAGCCACTCAAGCTCGGACAGGCACTGCACCGCCAAGTTCAAATTGCCGTGGGAGGACGGCTCCACTTTTTGCTGCAGCAGCTGCAGCTGCTTCGCCGTGTCCAGCACGGAGGTCACATCAACGGGCTCTTCAGCCGTGTCTTCTCCGTTGAAGCTGCTCCGAAGCTCCAGGAGCTCTTGGCGCTGCTTCTCCTTCCCAGAAATGCGGCTGGCACTGTCAAGGAGAGCCCACAGCCAGTGCAGCAAAGATTCCTGTGTGGCCACCTCCTTTTGACACCATGCCTCAAAATCAACCCTTCTCTGGGTCAACTCGGACTCCTGCCATGACATCTTCAGGGAATCTGCTTTCAGCTTGCATCAGCTTGCAGGCCTCTTCATTGAGGAGGTCTAGGGCTTTGCTTGACCAGGCTGCCCGGAAGTGCAGGCCTAGGACCTGGCATTATGGACTACACTTTCGATCCCACTGAACATGTGTTTTCATCTCAGGTCCCTGCAAGCACCAAGCTGAAGCGGAAAGGAGCCATGTCCAAACCAGGTCCTTGCAGCTCTGCAATGCTTCTGAACTTGCTCTTCTCTTGAAACTGTGGACAGCAAGTCCTCAGCAGCTACAATGGGTCATAGCCCGCTGGCAGATCTGCACCCCGCACTGGAGAGCCAGAAGGGGCTGCAGAAAACAGAGTTGTGAGAACGAGAGACAACGAAGTGTCGATAGAAGCTTCTGCTTGGGCAAAGTCTGAAGCTAGGCTCCTGGTGAACTTCTGCGTAAAACGCGCCGTAAGCTTCAACATCTGCAGCAACACTCGTTAGCAGCACAGTAGCAAGGAACAAGACTGCGAAAGCTGAGCACCTGGCAGTCTTGTTGCAGCCTGCATGGAGCAACACTGGTTCACAGGCATAGAGACGGCCTGGATGTCAGAAAGCATACAGTGATTTGAGACTTTCTGACCCGCGCGGGCGCAGCGAAGCTCTTCTGACCAACTTTGCAGTCAGCAAGCTACTGCCTTCACAGTGCCTCTGGCCATGTGGCATGACATTAACAATGTGCAGTGCCATGCCGCTCCAGAACGGCAGGCAATGCTGGAAGAAGCAAGCTAGCGCATGATACGCTTGCTGCCTACAGTTTTTGTACATCTTCAGAAGTTGTGTCACAGCTTCCACTCAGGCTGATTCTGCAGAGCTTGCATGACCTGCGTTGCCAAGTCCTGAGTCATCATGTGCCAAGGAGATGCGAGAAAGGACGAAAGCCAATCCATTACGCATACCATGCATACCTGGCATACCTCAATCTGTGTCTAGTGAGTCTAGTACCTTACTACCAAGTAACAACATGTCCAACTAGCATCCTCCTCTAAGATTGCGAGCACACGTATACTCTGTCCGCTGCTCAGTGCGGCTTAATTGCCTGGTGCTCCGGGGAAGGCTGCTTGTCTGGGTGCCACTTCCTCAAGTTGCGTGCCACTCACGCTTACACATGACATGGTCATGCTGCAGCACCTTCCGTCCATGCCATCTGCTTTTGTGGTGCCGCTCTTGCTCATACGCAAACCAGCTTGCTAAAGCTTAAGTTGCCAAGTTGCACCATAAGCTTCTTCCTAAGTTGTAAGCTGCCAAGACAAATTGGGACTTGCATTCGTTGCGACGCGCTTTGGATCTTGGGGTCTTGGTATGCCATCATGCGAGCACGCAAATCCAAAGTATTCCGAAGAAAGCAGACAAGCATCTTCATCGCAGCGCGCACCTCTCGGGTGCAACGCCTCGGACTTGCAATGGCTTGAGTCCCTGCGTGTCGCAAGACTCGGGCAAACAAGCCTGGAACCTGACAATGGGATCCTTACGCTACTATCCTATAAGCGGTTCTATGTTGGCTTACCTCAGGGTAGCTGCTGCCAAGCTTCCGCAACGGTCCACACTCTGACCTTGGAGGTGCCAGGCAACACGATTCCGACAATCTGCGTACTTGCCAGGCGCCCGCTTTCTTTCAAAACGCCCCAATAGTTCCTAACGATGATTGTGTGAATTCCAAGGGCACTGCTCGGCGATTTGCCTCGCAAGAGCTGAGGGCTCCTGGTTGGCGGCGCTAGCCTGCTAGGCTGAGGAATTATATGTGGTGTCTTTTTGGGGCTTCGCTGGCGACATGTCAGGGTATGTATGGAGGGCTGATAGAGTCCTGATAGAGGATCACAAGTCACAATATTGGGTGCCGTATTTCTGGATCCCTCTCCCCAAATACGCTACGTAATCTGCATACTGCCCGCGCCCTATAATGGTTGCATACGGTACAGTCTTCGCCGCGCTACATTTACGACACTTGTGTAAATGTTACAGGGTGAGGAAAGTATCCTATACGATACGCCCCAACCCCGCCCCCCCCAAAAAAACATCCAAACATCCTTTACATTGCAGACACATAATAATTGGTACTTCGTAGTCCTAAGCACGCTTGGGCGCATGCACTTAATCCAAACCTCCTGCCCTCCCCCGAGCCTCTGCTTGCTGGAGTCGCTTCTTCAATGATGCGTTCCTAGAAAGAAGTACGCAGTGGGAACTGAAAATGGCAGCAACCATGCTAATAGATGCTAATAGCGCTGCTGCTATGCTAGACGCGATTGTAGACCTTGTGGCTTCCCATCAGGAAGAATCGCCGCGGTGATGATGTGATGATGCGGTGATGGCGACGGTGATGGCAGATCACTAGGCAGTTGCTACCATCGAGGTAACCGTCCTAGTATAACAGCAGAGTCGTCACGGCGGAGGCGGCAGGGGCACTGAAGATACAGCATGCTTCCTCGCTGGATGCTTACATCAAGCCGCAGGAGGAGCACCATTGTCCAGCAAGATACCGGTTAGGCTGCGATTGCAGGTGGTCCTAAATCCTTCGGAATGGTTACAATAAGTTCTCACGAGGCCCCAGCTCTCTTGCAGTGCGGTCTGCCAGATAAGCCGTCTGACGCAGGAAGGAGACCTGATCCGACAACAAATCGCAGACTGAAGCATGGAAGCTGGCCCCCCAAAACAACTTCTACCTCTACTGCCGCATACTTGCTGCTTATGATTTGCCACTCCTTGGCTATGGACCTTTACAATCGCGCTGCAACTCTCCACTCAATCAGACATCGAACAACGCTTTGGTCTTTAGGCTTTTGGAACCTTTTTGGGGGGTCCGGGGGGTTCCGTGTTCATTTGGGGGAGGGTAGTTGCTGTGGAAGTCCTTCTGGCACTTCCTGCCTCCCGCTCAGCGTCTTCGCGTTTTCGGATTTGTGCCAAGAGCTCGCGTTCCTTGTCATCCTGCCCACAGGTCTATAGTCCCCCTTAAGTAGATGGAATATGGCTTTGGGTATATTATATAAAAAGATCCTCATATACCCCATATTCTATCTAGTTAAGTGAGACTATAGAACCCAAAACACGTCTCCGCATCCTACCCTGACACCTTCTGCTCTGCCTCCTCAGAAAGGCCTATCTGCTAGCCCTGTTGGAGACTAAGGTTCAGCCATTATCATGCCATAATCTACGAGAAAAACAAAAACAATCACCATTGTGCTTCCATGATCAAACTTAGAAAGTGTTGACTCAGGAATTTCAGTATTTCTCAGTCAAGTGCCCCGAAGCCTGCGGTTTTGGTAAACCGGAGTAGTTTCGATTTCCGACATGCGCCACAACAATGACAATGAAGAACTATTATGAATAAACTGCGTGTCCCCTATACATTTACTTCCCATGTCACCTCTAGGTGTTTTTGGGAGGTTATGATTTTTCTGATTCTCTCGGCTTCGAACCCTCACAAGAAACCCCTTTCCATAGGGTCCTTCAACCGACGCCACTGGTCAGCACGATCCTGGGCGGCCTTCGTTGCTTGCAGCCTTTAAATTACAGAGGCCAGGGTTGTTGCGGCTCAAATACCTGCATCATAGCGTATCTGAGGGATGATGTGCAAACGGAACCCAACATCTGCAAGTTTCCCCAAAACAAGGATTCCTTTTGCGGGGTTGTGAAGAAGCTTTCACTCAGGGCGATAGAGCCTACGGCCTGCGGACCCATCATATGAGCTTTAGTCTAAACTCCTAGTATCCCCCTTAATAATAACTCCTACAATATTCCCTCAAAAATTGACCCCTCGTTTACCCCTTCTAAGGAGTTTTAGACTATAGATACCCTGAGTCGGTAGATTTTCACACCGCCGGAAGCCCCAGCGCCTTAAGCTTCCCTAACAGTATGAATCGGGTCGCAGGCGAAGCTGGGGGTAGAGTCTATATGAGCTATAGTCTAAACTCCTAGTATCCCCCTTAATAACCCCTATAGTAGTCTCATATACGATCCCCTATATAACCCCCTTTAAGGAGTTTAGATTATGGCTCATATGGTAGTTGCCCAAAATAGGGGGACGCCAATATAGACCCCAATATACCATAGTCCTTTTTATGGGGACCCCCAAAATGGTACCCCTAATTTTGATCCCCATACCCGTGTGGAATAGATGCCATGAACTTCCCCTTCTGATCGAAACCTTCTCATGCTTCCACACTCATTTGTATAAGTGGAGTCTTTTCCTAAACCCTAAACCCTAAAGCCCTAAACCCTACCTAAGACCCTAAACCCTAACCTCTTCTCCCACCTCCCTCTCCCCCCCCTTTTTCTTCGGAGTCCAAGGAGCTCTGATGTCATTTTGCGCGGCTCGCAGCTCCTCTCTTTGAACAGGATCTACCAAATATCTTCAACGAAAGACTTCTACCATCGTGGACTCAATCGTGCTATGAATGCTAGGTAGTAGTGAGTGTGAAGCGGGGTGCACGCGGAGCGTGCATCGAAGTGGGATTCAGAGCAGACAATTACTTGTTCTTTTCTCATGCAAGCTACTTGGAGTGGTGCATGCTTGATTGTCTGTTGCGCGCGTTTAGCTTGAGGAGGTCGTCGCTTGCAGCGTGTACATGTTTACTTGAGCGCCAGCTTGTGCGCCTTGAGTTGAAATCAACTTATGTGTGCGTTCGATGCAGCCATGTCTACTCCAAGCTGCCCAGGTAGAACACATGGCAGCAGTAGTGTGCTTCACATCAGGCGTGCTCCAGTTTTCTGTTTCCCGCCCTCCACTCCCTCAGAAAAATATTGGGTCTTCGTTGCGACCTTGTAACAGGGGCCAGCTAGTACCGGGCCGTATGTTGCCCGTATTGCTTTACATGGGCCGGACTGTCTGTGTGTTGTCCCTGAGGCGTCTTTTCCCCTACCAATGTGACACGACCTCTGTGCGCCCCAAGCAAAATGAAGGAAGCTGTCAGCCTGTTGGTTTTTCTGCAAGGGCCCCCTTGCTTATTGTAGCAGTAGTACTCAAATTAGTGCTCCGAAACATTCAAGTGGGAGACAGATTCCGCAAGGCTATCAAAAAAGACAAGCCTTGTTTGTAGGAGCAGTAAGAGAGAGCAGCCGGAAGAGTAGGATGAGTAGAGGTAAAAGCACTTCCAACAACCTTGATCAGCTACACAGCTAGAAGAGGAATTACAAAGTAGCACGAAAGAATGGATTCAAGGAATATTTTTTCGCGAGCGGAGGCCAAGAAACAAAAGCAAATGCGTTTCAATCCGGCTTTTTTAGGATGGTCCTAAAGAAAACTCGTTCTGAACAATCCTGTTATCCCCACCCTCCTCTCTGCCCTCATGTCCGTACGCGAAATGCATCATACCCATTACAGACACTGGTGAGGTGGGCTGTTCACATTATTACGACTATATTTGTTCATGCTGTTATCACTACTATTATTCAGTACTTTATACAGAAGGGAAAAGATTCATCCAGGAAGCTTGTCAAGAGGTTCTTCATCTGCAGAACTCAATGGCGGTTAGTAACAAATGCATCAGGTGGACCCCCCACCCCGAAATTGTGCTTGGGGTTTAGGCACCATTATCCCTTTTTTAAACCCGTGCTTGGCCGAAGCCTGTCACCATTTCTGGGGGCGACCACCTTAGAAACGCAACAGCAAATTGTAACTTCCACTGTTTAGGGTTCGGGGCTTAGGATTCGATCAAACCCACCATTCAAACAAGGTGGAACGTCTTCTTTGCTGAAGCGAATGCCGCAAGTCACCCGTCCATCGAGCTGGCGGATCAACGTCCCAAACATGATGCATGAGAATGAAGATCCAGAATGGCTTGGGGCAGTACCATTTGTTTGTTACAGTGGCTGCTTGGAATCTGGAGTCGTTCTAAGTGATTCAGCTTCATGTGCGCACACATTCATCAATCATGAACACGCTGCCCAGCCTCACATGTGAACCCTGAGGCAAAATTACTGTACACGCCCAAGACAGCAGTTGGTACCAGTAGTTTCCCTAAATAGGGGGAACCCAATCTAAACCCCAAAATACGATCATCCTTAATATAGGGACCCCCAAGAGGTACCAGTTCTAAATTAACACCCTAAAGCCTAAACCCCAAACCGGAACTACCGTTCTGTTTCTCATCAGGCCCCTGACCTGGTCCAAAGCCCGAACGTGCTGCTGGAGCTCAGTTCGTCTCTGCACCTCCTCGGAGACTTCCTGAGCCCAAAGTCAGTGTCTGAAGATTTCAGGTTCATGTTGTGTACGTTCGGTTTAGGGTTTAGAGTTTCTGAAGATTTCAGGTTCATGCTGTGTACATTGCATGCTTCATGTTGTTCTGACCCGGAATGTTCGAGACCGAGACAACTGCCCCCACCATTCTTGACATATGGCAGGCATTCAGTAGATACATAGGGCTGGACGGTTTGTGATAGGGTCAAGGGCAGACTACGTGGACTTTCCAAACGTCCTCTTGCGGGTTATGATAATTTGAGGTATGTATCGGGGCCCCCAGTTTATTTATGGAAACCACCAAGTGATGGGTGTGTAGCCTCTTTTCGGTGTGTTCGGGACGCGGTACTGATCAGGCAGCCATCTGACCTCACCTTAAATGGTGACTTCATAGAAAACAGATGGGTCAGGTGGGGATGACTCTAAAGCAAACTGAAGGATAAGCCCAGGATGAAGGAGATGGCCTGTCGAAGAAGGGACCCCACTCTCACCCCCCAAAAGAAAACCCTCTCTTCCAGTGACCCACCATGCATCTGTCTCCCGCTCTTCGATCTCTTCCAACAGCCGCCACACCTCTGGGGAATCTTTCTCCCTGGCAGAAGTGACCTTCCCAAGGACGCTGGCATGGCTGACACATGTGGCACTAGCTGCAACAATGTGCAGTTGAGAGAAAATTGCGCGTTTGTTCAGAAGAATCTCCGTCGCTGGTCTTCCAGACTGCAAGATGCGTCAGGTTCAAGACAGGAATCGTCTGCGCATCAAAAAATGCCAAAAGGCACACCGAGGCAAAAAAGGAACCGCTTGTGAGCGCAGTGTGGCGAAGCGTTTATCGAAGGCCTGCAGACAATGATGCAGAATGTTTCTAGCTAACTCCACTGCTCTCACACGGAGCAGGTGCCTTGCGCAAACACCTTCCTGGAGCTATACACATCATCCTCACATCGCGCATGCACATAGGATGCAGGGCAATGTGCTGCAACAAGGCGAGTTGTTGGTCTTCTCTCTGAGTTTGTGCACATTGCCGATGCTCCCGCCTACGTAGACCTGCACGCAAACTGAATAGACTGCTTGGCAGCCGCGGCGTGCTTTGTGACAAAATAGCTAGCAACCAGATTCTGAATTCAAGTCGGTAGTTTCCAAAGGTCACGGACTCCCGTATACAAATTATAATGCCACCCTGCTTTTGGAAACTACCTATAGTCCCCTTAAGTAGATAGAATACGGGGCATATTGCGGGGGAGCTTATTATAATATACCCAGCGCCATACTCTATCTACTTAAGGGGGACCTATATGAGCCATAGTCTAAACTCCTAATATCCCCTCTAGTAGTCCCCCATACCCCATATAACCCCCTTCAAAGAGTTTAGACTATAGCTCATATGCAGGGGCAGGAGCAACTTCAGAAGCTGCCTTAGTACTTGCTCTCACGCCTTGACTTGCGTGTGGCATCGTAAACCTGGCCGTCCAGCCCAAAGTTGGCCCACTCCAGCGAAGGATCCCATGCCTCAGCTGGGCTGCTGCTGCTAGGAACTTAAGCAAAGTTACCTCAATGGGTATATATATGTATATACACTAAATTGAATTATAGGGGTTCCCCAACAAGAAGATTAAGTTCCTTAACGCAAGCCAGTCAGTCCAGCGCGAAGTTCTGGGTATTGCCCCCCCCCCCCGCACCTCTACTTGGATGATCTTTTCACGCTGTAGCACTACCCGCTATCCCCAAAAACCCGTGTTATACACCGGGCTTCTTTTTGGGGGTCCCGGCAACGAAGGGTATGATGTATTGGGTACATAAAGGGTGCCCCTGCTTGTAAAAAACCGCGCTGCTTTTCAGGGGTAATCCTCTCCCCTCATATTATTAAATACCCGCACTGACCTATAATATGGGGAGCATTCAAGATTAGCGGTGGGGAGGGTTTAGTAGTAGGCGGAGAGGATTAGCCCCAAAGGTTTAGGGTTCAGGTCCCTCAAAACTACAGGCACTATAGTCCTTGTGGTGGGGACCCCTAACAGGGCACCCCCGAATTTTGGAAAAAATGCATTACAGGCCGGGAGGTTTTACTACCCTACATATCCCAATGTCCTCATGTACCCCAAAACATTCCTATACAGCCCTATAACACCCTGCCTATTTACATGTATCTATGTAAATATATAAATTTCCGTACAGACCCCTGGGTGGAGGGGGTAGTGCTTAAAGCAGCGTAATTCAAAATAACTTCAATCCGCAATTTAAAGCGACTTTGGTACTATTCTCTGTATAAACCACCATTTAGGGTGAGGTCGGGTGAGGTCACTTTACATTGCCCTGTATTAAAGGATGGACCCTGGTGCAGCTCAGGAGCCACCATGTTGTGAGGTGGCGGCAAAGGCTCCGGCCTCGGCTGCTTTCGGGATTTGGGTTCTGCAGGGTTTAGGATTCTAGGGTTTTAGAGTTTAGGGCTTTAGAGTTTTAGGCATTCAGGCATTTGCTGGGAGATTCATAGGGTCTAGGGTTGAAGGTCTTAGGGTTGAGGGTTTTTGTGGGTTCAACTATCAGGGTTGTAAGGGCTAGGGATGGCTTAGGCTTCAACACTCGCATCAGAGACGCGGAAAGGAAAGGAGCCCTGTCACTCATGATTTGACCTTTAGGGTTCTGGTGATTTGTAACATGTCCTAAGGCAAACAAAGTCTAGAACGCACTTTACAGGCACCCAGGGACCTACAAACTTCCAAAATTCTTACAGACTCGTAGGATGGCTTAAGCAATCTTCAATTTGGTGCTCTTCTTTTGTGACAAGTTGTAAAAAACGTGTGCATGACGTCTACCTACCTTCCAAGGTCATAAAGCCACCTGTATCCTCCTTCTGAGAACCCCAACAAAAGCACCTGTAGATTCAGGGTGGGGTTCCTGAAGTCATAGCTGCTGGTGCTCAGACTGCGTCACCTACATGCTCAGGGCAAGCGCAGCTTGCGCATAGACATCGACTTGATTTGATCTCAAGTTGATTTACGATTTCTGAGTTTTACTTCCATCGTCATTGCGGGAGGCGATCCTCTTCTAGGACAACAGCCTGCACATAGCCGGAGACATTGTGTTCACAATTCAAGCGCAGTATTTCGCACGGATGTGCACACCTCACAATAACACACCAACGTTTGGGAGCTTCCATGGCGAAGGACACACATAACATGCAGCAGTGGTTGACCGCTGCACGAACAGGCAGCATCATAAGGCTAATGGAAAACAAAATGGAAACTACTATCATCAACGGGATTATATACGGATTATAGGGCATAGATATTGAGATTATATAGGGGGGTAATGGAAAAATAAAATGGAAACTACAATTTTGTTAGACACCGCATGCCAGCCACTGCATCCTAAACCCTAAACCGTAAACCCTAAACCCATCCTCCAGCCTAGCGACTCATAGTCAGGCACGTCGAAGTAGGTCAAATCAGTTGGGCTGCTGACCTGAAATGGGGGTTTCCCAAAATTAGGCGTACCCTTTTTGGGGGTCCCAATAATAAGGATTATAGTCCCAATAATAAGGATTAGAGTATTTTGGGGTCTATATTGGGGTCCCCTATTTTGGGAAACTACCATATCTACATAACAGCACTACAGAAATGATAGTTGCCGTTTGCGCAAAGGAAATAGCAACTAGTAATACCAATGGTAGATGCTTTGGGCGCATCTAGGCTATCTTAACTCTTCTTACCTTCGGTCAGCTAGGAATGAAGGAATGGATTCTTATAGTAGTCCCCATATAACCCACAATGATAATAGTTTCCGTGTTCTTTTTCATTCCTTCATTCCCACCCCAAACCCTACGGTAGTTTCCATTTTCTTTTCCATTCCTTCATGTTCACCCTCAACCCTAAGTCCCCACCCTGTAGTAGTTTCCATTTTCTATTCCATTCCTTCATTCCCACCCTAAACTCCAAACCCAACAGTAGTTTCCGTTTTCTTTTCCATTCTCCTTGTATAACCCCAATATATACCTGTAAGCCCTATATTACCCCTATATAATCCCCATAACCCTTGTAGTTTCCATTTTCTTTTCGATTCCTTCATTCCCAGCTAACCAAAGGTAAGTCTTTGCTGCTGCGGAGGCGCCTTGATTTTCAGCGGCGGCGGCATCTGGTGTAAGGACGCAAAGTCCAGGCCATCAAACAAGGCCTGGATTTAGGGTTTAGGGCTTTGGGGTTTAGGGTTCAAAGATAACAACTGTTGGGGCTTTCACTGCTACAGGTAGCAATGCGATGGGCATCATGTCATGGGATACTTTCTGACTGTCGAACCAGCGCCAGAACTACCCGCAGTTTCCCCGCAAGCAAAGTTGGAACCTCCCAACACAAAGGCTCTCAACGAACAGGAACCAGCAACATCCTGAAAGGGCACCTTTAACAGTTTCATGTTGGTTTTGAGATGTGTGCTCATTCACGAGAAGTAAGCGCAATCATGCTCGCGCCGTAAGCCCCCAACAGCAATCGGTTTTGGAAGGCCTTCTGAGCAGTAAGTAAACTGATCTTTCGAAGTCATCAGAAAGACGCTACAAATGCCGATAGTTTGAGAAGCGCAGCCGCTAAGCCTTTAATTTCGCCCAGAGATCTTCACCCTAAACTTGGAACCCTCATTTTCCCTAAACCCTAAACCCCCCAAACCCTGAACCCCCTAAACCCTAAGCCCTAAACCACAACATGGCAAAATCGCGGAACTCAGAGCCGGCCTCCTCCCTGCAGTCCGCCATGGACAGGCGCTCCGCATCGTTGGATCGGAGAACGCCTTGGAGGAACCTGAGGGTGAGGACCCGAAACTACCCCATGAAGAAGGGATATTACCCCAATTACCCCAACATGTTGGGATTCTATAGGGGGGTTAAGGGTTATATAGGGGTTGTAGAGGTTATCATGTTGGGGTTGGCAGGGATGGTATGTAGGAGGATTACCTGGAGCAACCAATCTACCCACTAAAAAGGGTTTGGTACCTAATCGTTTTGTATGGCATTGGGCCTTTAGGGAGTTGGACACTGTAATATACTATAATATGCTAAGTTATGCTCAGGGCCTAGAAGCGATTGGTTGAGGATTTAGCGTTTAAGGTCGGTATTCAAAAGAAGAAAGTAGACCGCATCAAACCGAAATGAGCCATTGTGTAAACGCCTAGTATCCCCCTTGATAACCCCTATCGGATCCCCCTTAATACCCCCTATAACACTCTCCTATGTAACCCCCTTCAAGGAGTTTAGACTATAGCTCAGATGTCAACTGCTATCCAACAAGGACCAAGGAGCATCCGAGCCTTCGAAAACTCGGAGTCCTTGAGTACTCAGCTCGGGACCAAGAGGTGGAACTGCCACAACAAAACACGCGCTACAGAAATCTGCGGCAACGTAATGTTTAGGTTGAGCCCCATTAAGGTGCAAGAATATTTGTCCCACGTCTAGAACTATGACCCCCCCGCGAGCGGAGTGACATACATAATATGTGCGCTGAGAGTCAGGAGTTCCAACGACGAATTGCCGATCCCGTGCCAGTTGCAGCTTCTCTGGCAAGACCTGGGGTAAATTCAAGGGCAGTATGAAAATTAAGTTATGGCTTGTTCAGGAATTATGAGGTCCATAATGAGTAAAACTTGTTTCCAGAAAGATCCCAGTGACTTCCTCCATGCTGCAGGCCTGCTCCGCAATTGCATCCACCTTGTCCATCACTGTGCGGGTATCGGACGGAACGTCGAAAGGCAGCAGCCCAGTCAAACATTCCTTGCGCGATTCGTTACTCTTCAGAACTGAATAAGTAGCTGTAGTATGCTGTAGTGAAAACATGTGCGCTGTTGCCAGCGGCAGCATCACAGCGAAGAGTAAGAGGTACTGACCTAGTTGTGTTCGCCTTTCCAAGGGGGAGGGCGGCCCAATCTGAACGAAGAGGTTGGAGGCGAAAGCTAAAGAAGAAAGCATGGCTGATCTACATGTACTGCACGCATTGATGCACTTTGTGACTCTAGGACGAAATGTCACGTGCAGGCTGTGGTGCAAGCCAAGCTTCGTAAGTAATGACTCCGATGGCCCATATGTCGCTCTTGCAGCTGCTGTAGCCCTCAAAGGCTTCTGGCGACATGTACTCTGGAGTTCCGCAGATCATGTCACACTTGGCAACGCCGCTCTCGTCTCTTGCGGCTGATAGGCCGAAGTCCAACCTTAGTGAGGACCAGCTAAGCTGTAGTCTAAAGTCCTTAAAAGGGGTTACATGGGGGATTATATAGGGAGGTGTTATAGGGCCTACATGGGCCTACTAAGGGGGACACTAGGAGTTTAGGCTAAAGCTCAGCCTAGCTCTGGATCCCAGCCAGACTTGACGTGTAGACACGCTCCAAAGCTACTGCACATGAGTCTTGGCCGCGGTGAGACAATACCATGAAAGATGTTTGGACTTGTAAATGGGGGCAACAACATTTGGCAAACGCCTCTAGTTCTCAGAAAACATAAGATCTATATCTGACAGCAGCACTGCGCTAACACCAAGCTCTGGATATTTTAGTTTCGACTCTTCCTGACTACTCGTTGTTTTTGGCTGCGAGAATGTAGCAACCTGAAACAAAGCAGTGCCAAGCATGACCAGGCGGAGGTGGCATCAGCACTTACTATTGTAGCGATCTAGGATATCACATGGCACTAGGCTAAGGATGGCCGCCAGGAGCACGCATGCACACAGTCCGGCATGAAGACTATCAGGCTAAGAACAAATCCCCTCTCGCTAAAAAGAAAACCACACACCCCTTTAATCAGAAAAAGCAGAATGGCAGCACGGTGTACAAGAGAGTTGGGAGTCATTATCACATTATATAAGAGGGTGCGACTCACAATTACTCAGTCCCAGTCTCAGTTTGAGATGGCCTTTGGCACCCAGCATCATGTTGTCCTTGGGCTTAGGGGTTTAGGGCTTAGGGTCAAAAACCGCGCGAAGGCAATACTATGAAGGTTTTCTCCCAGTGCGGCCCGCCAATTGTTGGCACAAGCCTGAGAAACGCAATGTTCCCATACTCTTCCTCACATTTCCCAAAATGTCGCTAGTACTACCCCAGTAGTAGGATGCCCGTAGAGACTTACCCCAAATAGTAGTTTCCATTTTATTTTCCAATATCCGAATATTATAACCCCAATCTAATCCTAATATTACAACAGTGGGTACCTCAACCGCTTTTACCACCCACAGATGGGCAAGGCATGCCTTGTAGCATTTGTCCGGGTTTCGAACTACAGCTTGTAAGTGCATAATTGCTATGACTACAGGGATATTTGGGGATAATGGAAAATGGAAGCTACTATTTAGGGTTTGGGGTAGCTGTCCTGTTTGTGAACTTGTGATGGCAATGTTCCATTCAAGCGGCAAATGACTAGTTTTCATCAACATCGTCCGTTTGTTTGCTGCTAAGTTCTGTTAGATGCTGCTCGTAGGACTTTGGCGGGCCACCACTATGCAACTGTCTAGCTAAACATCATGAGCCACAAGCCACCTTGCAAGAAGAACATCACTAGACAAAACATATGTATTAATTTCTGCCGGCTGGTCCTCGTTTGATTTATCATTGGATTTCTCTTTCCTTCCCTGCCTGCATTAAACATGAGTTGTGTGTTTTATCATGCATGAACTCATGCTCTTGTTTGCTATGCATTTTGTGCGGTGAGATCTTCCATGGTGCTCTTACAAGAGAGCATTCGTCCGACTCTTTCCTCCTAGGCTCGTATCCTCTCATTAAATCCAAGCAATCACCATGCTGTGTCTTTACAGGAGTCTGGACACGACTCCACTAGTTTTAGGGCTGCTTTAGGTATCCCCATCTTATCCTGGACACAGATGATCTTGCAAAAAAAAGTTCCTCTGCAGCTCAAGCTACGGGTTTCAAGTCCCGGTGCACATGGCCGTAACGATGAACAACAGAAACAGCCTCTATCAGCTCGGCCATGTAGAATGCAGTCTCCTCCAACGAAAGTCTGCCTCGCCTGCTAGGGGCTTCTCAAAATTGGCGGTACCACGCTGGGGGTCCCTATGAAACTCGCCATACTCATAGTGTGTTGGGTCTACAGTATGTTGGGGCCCCCCTATTTAGGAAACCTGCATTGAATCGCGCCGAACCAGTGCCTGCTCTTAGCCTCTTGCACCTTGCACTTCGCTACTTTGCTTGGGAGGCCCCTACTGCCATCAATTCTCATCATGGAGGGCTGTTGCTGCGGCTCAAACATGTGTTGTCAGGGGCTGTCCTGTCATGAGGCATTGTCAGTACTGTAGAGTTCGGATCCCCGAGCCTTGTGATGTGTGTGGTCAAACTCCCTCCTTGCAAGAACTCCATCACCATAAACAGATTCCTGGCATCCTGGCAGGCAGAACGGTTGGCAGAAATCCTAATTTCGGGCTGAAAGACTAGCCTGCTTTGAGCCATGCTATCAGAAACACGCAGGAATCGATGGGAACAGAAACAAATCCTGTCCTGGAAGGCGCACAGTAGCGTGGTGCACCAGCGAGCACTCAGGCCAGCCAGCGCATCACGTTCGTTGAACGCCAAGGCATTCTTTTTCTTCTTGTAGTGGTCCTTGCCTAGGAGTGAGCTGTCCAGGCGTCAGCTGTAATACTGACACGAAAGCCTCTCCGGACCGTAGGCACCTAGCTCATACGCTTGAGCGCATAGATGTTGTCATTGAAATGGCACCTGAACCAGGGTTATCTTGTCCGTGGCAACTTCATGCTTCGAATCGTTTTCGCACTCTCAACTAAGCATTGGCTGGCATAGGCCTCACCAAGTGCACGGTGCCAAAGCCACCCTCCAGGGCAAGCTGCTGGACATGACTGCTGAACATCATGCATGTCTGACAGAACACAGAAGCACCGTGGGGCATGCGCTTAGCCTTTTGCAATTTTCGCGCCTTGCCAAGGATGGCAAGCGTCTCGAAATCTGCTGTGCTCCATCTCAGCGTGAAAAAGCTTCTTGCAAGTGTCTGTGGTTTGACTCTGCCTCGCAGTTCAATCTTGGGCATGCGCATGCGAAGGTCTGCTCTTATGAGATGGTTTTCTGCTTCCAGGTGCCTGAAATGCAGACGGCACTCAACATAAGAAACGCTGATCTAAAATCTGCGGCATGCTTAGGATCCGGCTCTTCCATCATCTGTCGCAAGTGGGCCGGCTGGGCGTCCCTGTTTCCAGGAACTAGATTGCAGACACGCGATTTCTTCACATTTCTTCTGTTCATCCGCCCCCAAAGCAGTGCACCCCCAACACAAGAAGACAACACAGGCTCCTACTACGAGTTGAAGCCTTCTGAAAGGTCTTCTCCCTCGCCCTAAAGTGCCCGAAGGTGCACAACTTTCAAGGTACTAGTAATAATAGTAGTAATAGTAATATTTGTGACAACAGTAATAATAGCGTGTGCACCGGTTGGCCTTGCAGCCTGCTGGAAGCTTTTGCGCATGTTGTTGAGGGTCCTGGCCCCCCGCATCTTAATAAGTCGCTCTCTATGCAAAGCGTGGGCAACAGGAAAGCTTTTAACATTCTGCATTCTGAAGAATTTCGCGATCTGCGGGTGCCTGTCCACTTGATCTCTGTGCTCCTTTCTCTCGCGAGTGGCCTCCTTCGCGCGGGCAAAGAACTTGGCCGCCTGCGCAGTCTCAGGGCCTAAGACAAAGGGAGATGGGGCTGGAAACACAAAAACAGAGCAACGAAAAGTCGTTTGACACGAAGTAACTGAAGTCAAGCAAGGATATCAAAAAAACATGGTGGCACTGGCGCTACTTTCGAGCCTGCCTCTTGTGGGATGCTGCTTTTGTGATCACATGGCCGCACTCTCAGAACCCTCGAGCCTGCTTGTCCATGCGCTCATCTGAGGTCGGGTCCTCCAACCCCTATGGAGCTCGTGTAGACCCTGGATGCATGGATGCATGGCTAGGCAAATATCCTTTTAGGAAGAATGCCATGTTGCTGTTGAGATTGCGCACAAAACTTTGGTACTGGTCAGAGTTCACCTGCACTACAGCAGCCAAGGGGACATCAGGTCCTGTTCGTTGCCTCCATACCTGAGCACAGATCAGGTCTCACATCCTTGGAACCAGTACCATGACTTGCTCCAACGGGGGCGATAGCGCCGCAACTCCAAAGACTGCTTGTCTTAGCTAGTGGGCTCTTATCATTTCTCTGCCGACAAAGCGCCCACTACTCCTCTTGCCTTCGAGCCGGCTACTCCTTCAAACCAAGCTGGCAAGCAACAGTGCCGCAGTAAAGTGTAAAGATCGCAGCAGCTATTGCGCGTCTCAAGCCTTATATGCTTCCTGGCAAATACAGCGTCCAGCGCTCCTTGAGGGTGTCTGAGTTGACATGGCAGACACGCGTGCGGATGCGGTTTGAGAGGGGACAAATGCTGCAAGGGAGGTGCGGGTTCTCCGGCAGCCCTATGTATGAAAACACCATTTCATGCCCGCTCTCTATCCTGAATACCATAATAGCAATGCATGTCGTGACAGTGACAAGTGCTAGATACAGTACATCCCTGGCCCTGGCGCAGCAAGAGCCCATGCGCTGCGGCCTCAGACACCAAGGCCTCCATGGCATCTTGCTGTTCCTGACGCGGATTGCTTCGAATCCACTCGAAAAAGCCATCGCTGCGTGGCTGTTACAGTTATCTAGCAGAACTTGATCAAAGTGTTTTCTCTTCCGAGTAGTACTGCTACAATCTGTTCATGGGTACTGTTGTCATTGACTCCATTACTGCAGAAACGTAAGCGGCACTTACAGGTTAGAACAGCCATCATATGAGCATCAGGAGCATCACTGCAGCAGCAGGAGGAGCAGGAGGAGTAGCAGCAGCAGCAGCAGCAGCAGCAGCTGCGGCAGCGGTGGGGTCGGCAGCGGGCAGCTGCAGCAGCGCAGCAAGCAGCAGTGGTGGGCTGTTGAGCATTGTAGGAGGAATACGGAAGATAAGAATGAATTGCAGTAGAATGGAATGAAAGTAGAGGCGATAACAAACACCAGGGCAGAAATATTTAGAAGAATAACGCCAATCCTGAGACCACGCAGATTCCATAACGATTCTGTTCCTAAAAGCAGACAGCAACAGTGACTGCAACCAGAGCAGTTACAAGACTGCTGCTGCTGCTGCTGGAGGATGTGGGAGTTACCAAGGATGTCATCCTTCGTAGGAGAAACACGCGCGGTCCCTCAGTCTATCTTTACAGAAGGGCGCTATGAGGATCTCTGTTTTGAGACTATTTGCAAAACCCAAAGCCCTAAGATCCCCCAATTCAACAATCTTATCCCAAACCCCCCCCACTTGTCAACACCTGATTTGACACCATTTGGGGTATCACTAAACAAGTCTCACTATGACACCCAATACCAGAAATGCTTCAAGACTTTCGGCCCATTCCTTAAACCCTAAACCCAATCCTAAATCCGCATGTCTCAGGCAAGAGGCTCGCTTCTGCTTCTTGAGACTGGCCTGCCAGGCTGCTAGTAGACTTCCGATGATGTCCACCACCTCCTGGAAGGCTTGGCACCAATATGGTAATTGGAATATTAGGGATAATGGAAAAGAAAATGGAAACTACTATCCAGGGTTTAGGGTTTGGGGGGTTATATCGGGATTATATAGGGATCGTGGAAAATGACATGAAAACTACTGTTTAGGGTTTAGGGGTTGGAGGGTCAGGGGGACTTAGTAAGTAGGTTAATAAGGGGGGATAGCTGGGGTTACTACCTGGGTTATAGGGGTTATTAACTTACTTACTAAGCCCCCTGACCTCCAAGTAGGGAAGGCTTGGCACCAATATGGTAGTCTCGATAAACATGGGAACCCCAATCTAGAAGCCAATATGCTACAATACTTAAGATGAAGAGCCCCAAACTTGTATCCCTCATTTCGAAACTGAAGCATGTCATGATCCCCATAGTGGCCCTCAGGATAACGATCGTAATCTTCTTAGATTCCGTATGCTTCCCCTTCTCGAGAAATGCCAATATATAACTTCCATTGGGTGGGTTGTTATGGGATATGCACAAGCTCTGGGGACGTACCCTTTAAAGTTCCATTCATGTGTTTGAAGTTTGAAGCCCAACAGAAGTCAGGGTCTGAGAACTTCGCCTTGGTTGGAAACCTCTTGAATCTACCTTGTCCTACTTAGTCAGCAGCATGTTGGCTGTGATGGCTTTCCGTTCACGTATATCTGCTTCCCTTCATGGCTTGAGGTCCCGGAGCTTGTGCTGAAGCTCTTCCAGAGGGCAAGAACCATGCCTGACAAGAGAAGCCGTCATGCATGACAGCAAGTTCAATACCTCCCCGCTTGATTGCCGCTCTTTGTGGTTGAGCCAAGTAAGTTCAACCCCGACGGCGGATATAACCCTACCGTATATTCGAGACTACGGCATCTCCAATTAAACTCTACTATAACCCTATATATTCCCATATAGCCCTAATTATATATCCCCACATCCCCCTTTAAGGTATACCCAACTACACCAGATCCCTGTCACCTAAGTCCTAAACCCCTAAAGCATCCCCAAATAAGACGAGATCTCCAATTGAGAAGACCGAGCCTGAGGACCGTGAAGAGCTGGCAAACAGGCGTGAATTGCCTGCCCCAGGTTGGGGTCGTGTGTATATATATATATATATGGGTTTAGGGTTTTGGGTTTAGGATATAGATATATATATATAGATATAGATATAGGGGCATATGAGGCTTATACAGGGATACAAAGGGATATATAGGGGCATATGAGGCTTATACAGGGATATATAGGGATATATGAGGCTTGTACGGGGATATATAGTGGTATATGAGGCTTATATAGGAATATGTAGGGGCATATGAGGCTTATGTTAGGATATATAAGGGTATATGAGGCTTATTTAGGGATATAATATGTAGGGATAATTATTGGAGGGGCCGTTCTTGTCCCCAATCGTTCTGGTCCCCAATCTAGAGCGAAATCATACCCGCTGTTAAGTCGTAGCAGTTGCTAGATAAGGGTCATTTAGGAGATACATGATTTGCAAGTGTTTGATAACGAAATGGACACTAGCCTTATGCAGGTGTTCAGCATGACTATACATTCTTCATGGCTCCGGTAAGACTCGCTTCTCACACAAGCCAGGATAGCCAGAATCATAGCTTACCACCTCCGAATGTAATCTAGAAGTGCCAACGATTACCAACATTGCTCTCTTTTCTTCCTCACACAGCGATAATGCCACCTTCCTCACACAGCGATAATGCCACCTACCACAAAACCCTATTCAAATCAAAGAGACCCCTACATTCAATAAGGTGATTTTAGTTAGTTACCCAGTTACCCCAACCCGCAAAATCACAGGGGGTTGAGGTAACTGCAATCTCCTTATTGCCTAAGATCAACTCCTATGATCCTTTAAAAGCCCTGTTCCCATTTCATCTGCTTTTCCATTTGGCTCTCCATTAGCGGGGCTACATGTCCCCAGATATTCCCAAACTCTAAACTCCAAATCCTAAATGGCAGCTTCTAGCTCCTCTACTCCTATCTAGCCCCACTTTATACGGGATACCCCTACAAAATCGGATAGCCCCTACATCATCCTTATGTCTGGTAGGTTCCATTATTTGTGACCTCAATATAGACCCCTAAACATGATGATCCTTGCGATGGGGACCTTCCAAAAAGGGGCCCCCAAACCCTAAATCCTAAACCCTATATCCTTTTTTGCAGCAGGCTTGCACGTATGCGCCTGGGTTGATGCCCCGACCAAGACCCCCTCCACTGAACTCATGCCAGCGGGAGCAGTTTGGCATAGTGGCTAACTCTCTGAAACACTGGAAGTACTAACTCAACCAAAGCAAATCCTAAACCCTGAGCCCTAAATCCTAAACCCTAAACCCTAAATCCTAAGCCCTAAATCCCCAAATCAGGCATTGGAACTCTTTGGTGCCTCGTTGAAGTGACCTTGCGAGGCGCAGGTTTGAACCTGGCTCTGTAGAAGAGACGCGAAAAAGATTGCCGATCTATAGTCGGGGCATCCCGGGTTTAGGGTTTAGGGTTTGGGCTTTAGGGTTTAGGGATGTCGGGGCTATATAGGCCCTAGGGATCCAAGTATACAAATAATACCTACCTTGGGCCCTAAAGTCTGTAATTAGAATTTTTACCTACATTGGGCCGGCCATTTGGATCCATAGGGAGGATGTCTAGGGTTGAGGGTTATATGGGGTTTAGGGTGTAGGGTTGGTTATATTATAGGGGTTGTATAGGGACAATGGTAAAGAAGATGGAATTTCTGTTTAGGGTGCAGGGATCTAGAAGCCTGTCGGAAGAAATACCCCCCAATGCAGCATTACTGACAGTATTACCATATGCTCTTTAGGGAAATATTTAATGTCAGGGATGTGGGGGATCTGGTTTGGAGGGGATAGGGATGCTAAACATCCCACTTTGCCTGGCTCAGGGCGTGGTGTAGTCGGGCAGCATCTGGTGATGGAGAGCTTTGGCGCAGTCCTGCATGGACTGACCCTGAAAGCTGGATATTGCCTACTTGCGCGTTTCATCTGTTTTTTGGGGTATATAGGATGAGGGTTTAGGGGTTTCCACATGCCACCCGTAGAATGCAGCGGCCACACGAGCAAATCATTGCTCTGGCACATGTGCATTCTGTGTGAAGTAAGGCATACAGGAAAACTCGATGTCATGGAGAAGGCCGTTTCTCAGACTGGGAATCCACAGAAAAGCCATATGCCCCGCGCTGACAATAAGACAGGAACCCGCCAGGAGAAGCAAGCAGTAGAACCGGTCACGTTGATCACGCTATTGCTGACCGTTACGTTCGTAAGCCAATAACATGGACAACATAGACTGCTTGCATCATCCATCAGTTTATAGGCCAAGTATTACTTTCGGGAACCCCCATTTACATCATGGGTCATGATGATGAGGATGGTGATGATGCGAACAACCAGTCCAACATGGTGCCCCGAGTTTCCCATACAACCCCAAACAACTTATTGGTTGTTGGTAGTGAATAGGGGATGCACTGCCTATAGAACCTCTGCACAATATGTGTTCCTACATTCCCTAAAAAGAAGCTGTAAGCCAAAAAGGGGTCAACTTTGCTGCCTCTGCGCTCCCGCCCGCGGCTCCGCCGCTCAGCAGGCTCCACCTGGGTTGCTAAGGAACTTAAATTAAGTTACCATATTGGGGAAACCCTACTATTTACTATATATACCCAATATAGTAACTTAATTTAAGTTCCTTAACAGCAACCCAGCCACTTCCGGCTCTGCGGAAGGCCGGGAGGATGCGGAGCCTAGGCTGTCCGGTGGGAGCCATCAAGGTGCGGCTGGGTTTACGTCATGTGGGGGGGGTTCCCCACAATTCCAGGTGAGATAGAGCGAGAGGGACGGAGGGATGGATGGAGATATTCCGCTGCAACGCTGATCCTACGACAACGCAGATCTTGAAAAACAGCCGGAGCGAGGGACTTTCTTGTTTTTTGTGGACAGTTGAAATTCACAAAGTGCCAGCCAGTTTGCATGGAAAGCACATGATGTTTTTTGAAGATGAGGCCCAACACGTAGGCCGCAATTCTGCCAGCTTCTCATAACCCCAAAGAATGAATCTGGAGTTCCCAAACTCCCTCCTTGAAAAATGTGATCTGAAGTATAGTCCAAAACTTCTGAAAGGGTTTATATACAGGATTATATAGGAGAGTATTATGAGGGTTATTAAGGGGGATACTAGGACTTTAGACAATGGTTCAAATCCTGGCGCAGTGGCTCCGCACCGTGGAGTGCGAGGCACCAACCTGCTCCGACTTGAGTTTAGAGTTTTAAGGTTTGGCGTTTTAAGGTTTAGGGAGAGTTAAAGGTTTGGGGCTTAGGACATGGACTTATATGGTAGTTTCCCTAAGTAGGGGAACCCTAATATAGACCCGAATATGCTATGATCCCTTTTATTGGGACCCTCCATCATGTTACCCCGAATTTTAAGAAACCTCCATATAAGGGTTTCCCAAGATATGGGAGCCCTTCAGCACTCAGGCGAAATCTATAAGCATCATAATGAGATCATGGCACATCCCCCCTGAAGGATTTCAGGACGAGTTGAGAAACTCCGAGTTGGGCATTTCAGGAGAGCTCGAACGGTAAGTAGCGTTTGCCCTTTGTCATCCGAGAGTGGTTTAAGGTCGAAAGTAGATACGCCAAAGCCAGAACATTTTTGGACCGCGCCCAGCGCCTGCTCAAGAAGCATAGTTTGATATGAGCCATAGTCTAAACTCCTTCACCCCCGCAATAACCCCTATAATACTCCCCTGTAGAATCTGCTAGATAACCCCCTTGAAGGAGTTTAGACTACAGCTTACACGTAGGGGGTCCCACCAGGATGACTTACTGTAAAGGGCTCCTGGATTGTTACAAGCTGAGTACCTTCAGCTCACTAAGCGCCTCTCTTCACTATTCCACGCCATGAACGCTGTATCATGCATCCACTGCTGTTTTACATGCAAGTTTCATTTGACTGTTCCAGTTCCAATTACACAATCCTGGATCTTGACTAAATGCCTGGCAACAAGTAGCGCTCCAGCAAGGTGCTGTCCAGAAATGTGCTATTTAATGCTCGGAGGGGTCTGTGTGGCCATGGCCGGAAATCATTGCTGCACGAAGGCAACCATGCTCCCCCACCTCGAAAGCATTAACCGTCCTCTTCTAGGACTGCATCGGCTCCAGAATGCATGATTACAGAGAGGAAGCTTACACTGCGGTGCCTGGTCCTGAATTGCCGGTGCAGAAGCGGAGGTAGAGGACTCCTGGGTAGGAGTGAAGGTTAGGGTTCCTTTTGGGATACAGCCAAGCATACTAATTCTATACTCCTTGCTGGGTTTTGTTTAATTTGGGCTTTCAAAGCTGTAAGGAATCGTTTCTCCTGCGACGCCATGTCGGCAAGTAAACCTCATAAGCAAAGTGGGGGGTGCAGATGGGAGAGGATGAAGGCTATCTAGTATAGGGAAAAAACAGAGCGCGAGAGAGACAGAGAGACAGAGAGCGAGGTAGGTACAACTGTGCCCTCAGTCCTATAAACCCTAAGAGGCATCCAAGGATTTCGGCCGCCCAGTGCTGAGCATAGCGGTTTGCTTGATGCATTTCTGTGATTTTTGTACAATCCTTGAGGAGAAAAACTCCAATCCCCCAACAACACCCAAATATGCCCAGGACCATCGTTTTCGAGGAATCTCTCATGCAAGCCCTACAATGCAAACATGCGGGTGTACTGGAAAATTAAGCGTCCTGTTATATGCCCAAGTCTATCATTATTATAGCAAGGGCTCCCAACCATCCCAAACACCTAGACCCAAGAACTCTTGATGGCGTTCCTGCCCCCCCCCCCCCGGGGTATGATCTGGGAGGGGCATGAACACGCGGAATCTCCGTGACTGTCGTCGTTTCTAGCCCCTCGCAACCTCGAAAGTGCCAACCGTCACAGGGATTACGTGTCTGGAAGGCGCCATCTTCGTGACGCTCGTCACTTTTGGAGTCTGACTCTGCGTGCCAGAGTCCAAACATGCCGACAGTTACAGGGATGGTCCAGTTTGGGGCACGATCCTTGGGGCGCGGTAGGCTTTGGTATTTGGACGTTTCCCATATCCCACCATGAATAAAATATGTGTCCTTCTGGGACCCTCTAAAAACCTCAGAGACACTGCATAGGAATGGTAATCTTCAATCTCTTCTCTCATCCCCATACCATGTACATGTAAACTTACAAATGGCCTACGTAATTCCTCAGTTTGTGAGACTCCCATCCACCCACACACACAGGAGAGAGGGGAAGACCTCAAATCATGTCTCTTCATCCCACCCAACGCCAACCACATGCAGAGAGGGGAGGGCCACCCCCAACCCACACCCCACACCCAAAGGGGGAAGGGCCAGCAAGCGCGTGACCACATAGAACTGCTAGTCCAATCCCCAAAAAAAACACCTCCCAATTTTGAACACCCCCCGCCCCCCCCCCACACATGAGAGCCAAGCCTGCTGAGTGGACTCCTGGGAGTCTGCCTCCGATTCGCTGGAGGCCCAGGGATCTGGCCCAGATCGTGCCAAGGCCTCACACATCTGCCCAGTACATCTGGTTCCTTATTGGCATATGGGAGGTGACATACATCTGCATATGTGCATATGCAAAATATGGGTTTTATAGGGATACGAGTTGGGTTACGCCCCCCACCTGCTAATAGCAACCCCAAGAGGTGCTGATGCTCACATTCGGGCTCCTCTACGTTCCTGTTGTACCACCATTTGTGGGTGGGGGCCCAAGCCAACATATCAGTAAAAGCTGTGGTTGTATGTTCCTTGTTTAGTTTTAGTATGATGATAATAAGACGTCATATCCAACGGTGACTCATGTAGAAGTGAGAGACGGGTTTGCGGGCATAATGCAGCGGGCGGGTCTAGGGCAGTTGTCCAAATTAAGCTTTTGGCGCTAAAGTCGCATGTCAGGTGGCTCTGCTTGACGGAGCTGCTCTGGATGTTGCCAATGTGGTGACCTCCTGCACCAGCAGTTGCGAACGACTCCAGTTCCATGGTTTGCATCACATCAGTGTGCCCAAAGGCCTCATGCGGTAGCCATGACATGCTAGCCGGATGTTGCTCGCGTGTGGCATTCTTCAGAGTCCGCAGATATTGGGGCATCATAGAATCTCGAAAAATGACTTGTGAAATTGTTTACAAGACAGAGCGGAGAATCATGGAGCATCAGAGAGAGATTTAACGAGGGAGGGTCGAAAAAAAAGCAATATATCATCACGGAGCATGCAAGAAGACAAGATGACACAAAAGCAAAATCCCCAGAGTCATAATAGCAGTAATAAGCATAATATAAACCCAATACACACCCCATTATAATATAGTAGTATCCACTTTCTTTTCCATTCTCCCAATAAATAACCCCAGCGTAACCGATAATAATCCCTGTGCCCATTTCATTTTCCATGTTCTTTTCCGTCTGATTCTCCATTATTGGGGTGATATCCCTACATACCCCTTCAAAGCGACCTAGGGCTTCCATTTCATGTTCCATTCTCCATTCCCTAAACCCTAAACCCTAAATAGTAGTTTCCATTTTCGTTTCCATTATCCCTATATAATCCCTAAATAACACCCAAACCCTAAACCCTGAATAGTAGTTTCCATTTTCTTTTCCATTATCCCTATATAATCCGTATATAACCCCCAAACCCTAAACCCTGAATAGTAGTTTCCATTTTCGCTATATAATCCGTATATAAACCCCAAACCCTAAACCCTGAATAGTGGTTTCCGTTTTCTTTTCCATTATCCCTATATACTCCCTATATAACCCCTAAACTCTAAACCCTAGGAAGTCCTCGGCTTCCAGGATCTCTGAGGCGATGGCTTGCACTGCGGCTTCAGTGGCTGCACTCAACGAATGGCTTGATGGCCGGCGCTCGTCAAAGAGGAAAGATGCCGCGCCGCCTTCCAATGCAAAACAGATGGCAAGAGGCTTGAACGTATATTGTAGTATACTTATAGTAGATTATAGTATATTACAATATATTTATATCATAGTAGAATATAGTATATTTTAGTATATTATACTATATCATGGTATGAAATAATATAATATGGTATACTCTGGTATAAACTGCTAACGCATCCGCCCTGCTTCAACCCTGGCTCTGTAGAATGCCTCCTGTGAGGGCTGGCAGCTCCCTGTTGGAGTTGGCGTGAGCGGAATGTCGACGTACTGTCTCTTGTTTTTCGCTCTTGCTCCTTGCAAAACAAATTGGGTGTCTTCTGCCAGTCTTCTGCCTTCTAACGCCCTGAAAGCGCTCCTCCGCGTATTCAGGCTTCACCAGTCATGTGCAGATTAAAGTTACAAATATGCAAAAATCCGCGCGGCCTGGATAGTACAGGCTTATGTCAGTTGCTGAGACTGCAGTGGTTGGCAACGCAACCTCTACAGCTTGAGCGCAACAACGTCCCTACCCTCTGCTGCGACCATGAAACTGCAAGAACCTCTTCTGCTATGGCAACCATATGCAGAACCCTATGAAACCACTCGTTTTGTGCCTTGCACCAACTGCTCACATATTTAGCACCCCTCTTCCTTGCACGTGTCCGCGGAGACCGCGAAGCGGCCGGGCGCAGTCCAGCTGGCAAAGTCTTGCGAAGGGCTGTGACGGCGCTGCTGGTCAGCCCATCTGCAGCAGCCTTGGGTTGCTGCTAATTATATATAGGGCATAGGGATAATGGAACATAAAACGGAAACAACTACAATGGGTTATATAGGGTCATATAGGGTTCAGGGTTGAGGTCTTTTAGGCAAGGTTTAGTGTTTGGGGTTGTGGTTTCCATACCCCATAAATCCCTACACATAAAAACGATTGAATTGGCTTCCTCTCTTTCACAAACGTAAAACAAGTAGCCTGCAGGAATTGCTGCGCGGCCGTGCCCAACTCCTCAGTCAGCTTGACAAAATCAGTATCAACGCCTATGAGCATGGCCGCATCTAGCGCGAGCATTGCAGTACCCACAGCAATGGGGGTTTCTTTGCAGTTGTTCCTGTGGGACGTACGATTGGTTCTAGGAATAGTTTCAAGTAGGGAAAGTGGCATCTAATATGTGATGCTGCGAGTGTATTCCGGGATGTTTTGGGCAAGTTTTCCTTTTGCGAGGACAAGTTTATGGCAGCACGGTGACGGTGATGCCCATGAGGACGATAACGATCAATGCAAGCATTGTTGCTGCTGAGATGCTTTGCTTTGTATTCGCTGCCATGACAGCTCCCATCTGCCACAGCTTCGATCAACACCATTTTACCCCCAAAGCGGAAGTTTCACTCCGCTGACATGGCTTCTTTGTGCCCCTGGGCAAATTGAGACCTCGTAATCATCACCCCAAGGAAGGATCTGGATCTATTCATGGCGCTCCTAACCAAAAGCACCTGCCTACATAGTACATTGGGTTTCAGAGTTGCTTAGTAGGAACTTTCCTTATGGTTTGGCTGAGTAATTCTTGGTTGCCCGGGAGTCTGCACAAACACGGGCCCCGGTACAGACTCCAATAGACCATCCTTTTTAACGCAGGGACGCCCGAAGAGAGGCCGCAGTTTTTGCAAGGAGCCCCCATATCAGCTGCAGTCTAAAAACCTAGTATCCCCCTTAACAACCCCTATAAGACTCCTCTATATAATCCCTTATATAACCCCCTTTTAGGACTTTAGACTATACCTCAAAATGGTAATAGGGCCCTTTGCCGTCCTCTGCGGCCTCGGCTGGGCCTTTGCTGCGGCTGGACACGCGGCCGCCCGCTGCGCTCGCTGCGCGGGGTGCGCCAGGAGGTGTCGCGGAGTGTGGCATGGCTCATTCTGCCAAGCTTGCTGGGGGTTTAAGAGTGTAGGGTTTAGGGGTTGGCAGGGAATACGGGAATCTGTTGTATAGGGATTGTATTACCTCATTCCCCATACTCTAACCACCAGTAAGGAATGGGGGGTGCCCTAATTAAGGGACCCAGGCAGTATAACAGAACAGTAGGGGTTGCTATGAAGGGGCGGTATGAAGACTACTTTGATAGGCTCTCAATAAGGAATAACCTTACTGGCCTCTAGGTTCCTGCCATGGAACATAGGAAATGAACAAATGCCTGTCACTTTTCACAGTGTGAATGGAATGAGGTTTTGGGTAGCCCTTTTGGCAGGTGAAATGAAGGCTTAACCATGGCGCTGTACTGTATGTTATGCTGAGACATACAGGGCTCCATCGTCCGGTCAGGGGCAGAACTGGTGACCCCGATAGTGCAGGCTTTGACTCCGTGCACAAGCCAAGTGAATGACGTGATGACAATCAAGGAAAATGCCCTGGCTCCCATCCTTTCCCGTCCACCGCAGCTGGCATGACACGCGAAGTTGCTGGGCCTCCCTCCGCCAGTGCTGGCGCTGCCATGGCAAAACCTGCACAAGCTGCGTGTAAGCTAAGCAGCTGATCTCAAGCTGCAATGAGAACTCACTCGAAGCCAAGCAGGCTTGCTGCATGTCGGTCTGTTGACTTTTGTCGGATACGGGGCTGTCAGGGGTGAAACGATTTTTTGTTCAGAAGTCAGGAGGCTGCTGACTTCCTTTTGCTGGGCTTCGAGGGCTTCTTGGCCCTCTTCTTGGCCTTGGCCTGGCGGTACTCAGCAATCTGGTCCGTGAAGCCAACCTCTGACAACAGCAGCTCTGCGCGCTGGTACGCTTTCGTCGTTCGGGAGAGCAGCTTGATTGCCTCCTCCTCCTTCGTGGGCAGCAGCTGCAGCTGCTTTCCAATCCTTTCCTCAACTGCCTTCACACGCGGCACATCTAGCTCTGACATCAAGGAAACCACTTTTCCGGGTCGCCCGGCACGAGCTGTGCGGCCTGCGCGGTGGACATAGGAAGCTACATCGAAGGGCAGGCCAACATTGATGATCACTCCAACCTGGCTTGTGACAGGTCGAAACTGTGGTGAAAGAAATTCACAGTTCGGAGAATGTTGGGATTCCAGTTCACAGGTTCACAGGGCTTGAAAGTTTTCCGTTATCCCTATATAACTCCAATATATACCCTATTATTACATAGGAGTTACCACTTTCTTTTCCATTATTCTGTAGGTACCCTGAATGTGGCCCAGTCACCATGGGGATGTCCAGCCCTCTGCTCGCCACATCTGTTGCCAGCAGAATGCTGGCGCGGCTTGCTCGGAACTTGCCGAGGCTTGCCAGCCGCTGCCTCTGCGACTGCAGCGAGTGTAGGCCTGTCACAGCAAAACCCAAAATGTCCAGCATTGTGGTGAGCATTTGGCATTCTTCGATGGTTTGCGCAAAGATGATGCAGCTCTCATCCGGGAAATGTGTCTTCAAGAGATAATGCAGATAGTTGACCTGCACGGATTTGGGCACGAAAACGTACAGCTGTGTCAGGTTCTGCAGAGACTCCTCGTTAGGGTTTGCATCCACGAGCATCAAATCCTTCCCCTTTCTCAACTTCTCAATGCACTGCGTAATCGTGGCCGAGAAAAACAAGGTCTGCCGTGACTCTGGAAGCACTTCCAAGATCCGACTCAAAGGCTCTTCGAAGGTGTCTGTCAGAAGCTGGTCCTCGGATTCACAGAACGCAGCACCCACCGCTCATGGCATGAACATCTTGTAGTTGCAATCTTCTAGTTACCTGCGCTGGCCCTAACTGAATGACACTGACTGCTAACCAACATGTTCGGCCGCTGCAGCTCTTCCAAGTGGGAGTTTCCCAAAATTAGGGGTACCCTTTTGGAGGTCCCTATAATAAGGACTATATTATTTGGGGGTCTATATTGGGGTCCCCTTATTTTGGGAAACTACCAAGTCTCTGCTTCATCCAGCACAAATGTGCGTAACTTCCGGAAAGCTCTGGCCAAGGCAAAATCGCCCCGCAGCAAATCGGCGAGTCTGCCAGGTGTGGCCACCAAAACATGAGTCCGGTCTGCAATAAGCCTGCTCTGAATGGAAAAGTCTCGACCCCCCACAATCTCCCCAACACTAACGCGAATTGCCTGGCCCATTGCGCGAAAGTTGTCAGCAACCTGGAAAGCAAGCTCTCTCACCGGAACCAGAATCAGGGCAAAAATGCCGTAAGGATCCTTGGATAGGTGGTGGAGAATTGGGAGGCTGTAGCACGCAGTCTTGCCACTGCCCGTGCGCGCGTTCCCAGCAATATTCTTGCCGGACAGCACTGGCGGAATAGCCATAACCTGAATATCTGTGGGATAATTCATGCCCAGCTTCCCACAAGTGTCAACGATCCATTTAGCCAGGCCCAGCTTGGCAAAGGAGGTATTTGTCTGGAACAATTTCTGAGGCTCCTCTTTTGCAGGCTCATCTTTCGTCTCGGATTCAGCTTGGATGTCCTGCTTTCCTCCTTGAATGCACCGCTTCCTCTTGGTTCGAACAGGAGCTGAGTGCGCCTCTTCCCCCGATGGGCCCGTGCTCTCAGGCGCAGCATCGGCTATCTTGCCCTGCTTCTTTGAAGCTGCTCTGCGCTTCTTCAGTTTGGCCACCATGGCGCGCTCAGGGACACTTACTTGGGTCTGTCTAGCCTCAGCTAGGACTTGTCCGCACACTGTCTAGGACTCTAGGAAGTTTTTATCCTGCCCAAACTGGCATAAACCATCTGCCGCATCCTGGACCGGCTCATGGAGCGCTTCCTTCAAGTGTGAATGAACCAGTGGCGGCATGTGCAGGCACAAACTATGCCAGCAGAACCCAACAAGCCAGTTCAAGGGCTGGTACCAAAATGAAAATACCTGCTGCCAGGGAATTACAGCAGAAACCCACCATGAACATTGGCAGTTGGCTTCCATTGCTGCTCATTGAACTGCCAAGAACCCAGAAAAAAGTAATGAAAGACGGTGACGTCAAGAACTTCAAACATGCAGAACCCCTCTTTTCAAACTCAACCTCCTGCCAGGCTGCCAAGCTCGAAGGCTGCAAAAAGCGTCCGTGGAAGTCCGTTACCGGACCAGCGGACGGAGGAAAATGCTGCTTGCATCAATTCCCGTCTGTCTTCTGTGCCTCTTGAATCCACAGCCCTACTACGGCATCGTGCCATGTTCCTACATCTTCTTCCGGTGCAGGCGGGGTTGGCGTTGTAATGTCTGTGAGCTCACCTCGTTGGATGAGCATCTGTGAGTGCTCACCGCGCCAGTGGGCAGGCCTCCATTGAACAAGGAGCCTAGGAGCCTTAGGCAAATGTGAACAAGTAACCGTGATGCCGTCACCATGCGGCTGGAGCGCAAAACGGTGTGGAGCCCGCGCCTGTTAGCTGGCCTTCAAAGGGCCTGGAGTAATAAAGCTAGAAACAAAGTGCAGCATGCCTTTGGTCTGGCTACATTTCAAGAACCACAAGCAAGGAAGGCTTGAGCATCATCCGCTCTGACAAAGCAACTTGCGGACCAATCCGCCAACCCTGTCAAAGCAGCATTGCCAGCGGCGCAGGGCTTTGCATCCCCTTGCAGTAAATGTAAGGGGAGATGGAGTCTGGATCCTTGACCCAGGAGTGAAGTGATCCCGGTGACGCGCACACTACCACCGGGCATGTGGCAGAAAGCGTCTTGTGCAGCTTGGCCGCCAACTGACAACTTTAATAGGAGAATACAAGGGCTCTCAGCGTCCTACAAAAAGACATATTTCTTTCTCGGCGTTGTCAGCGCACCACCCGCAACCTGCAGGTCTGACTCGGACTAGGCAGTTCTTTGAGGACACCAGTTCAGCGATCCATGCTCCTGAATTTGCAATACCAACAGCTACTTGCGCAACCGCCTATTGCTTAACTTGTGAAATTGTGCGCTGCAAAAGGCACCGCCAGGCTTCTGAACTGGTCCGACAAACCGCAGGCAGGTTCGGAACTTGAAGTCTGAAACATGAAATCTCACTAACGCGCCGGGCAGGTAACCCCCACTGGCTATACTGGATTGGCGTTCTCCAACTTTGCTTCTGACGCGCTGCATGGCAAAGGGGAGCCGGCCCGAGGCGAACATGAGGATTGAAATCCCGGACAATCCGGACAAGGTGCCTCAATTAAAAGCGCCAATTAAATCGTGTGAATCTAGAAGTGGGAGCTCAGAAGAGCTTGTTCTCAGATTCTGAAAACAGCCGCAAGCGGAAGACTGGCAGGTCAGCATGTCATTGGCACCCCAACCTGCGAACACAGGAATGAGTCTCAGGTCGTCAGGGTATAGTGCAGCAGTCCTTCATGCACGTTCAAACCCAATCGCATGTCAGTCTGCAGCTTTTCTAGCGGTGGGCCCTGATGCACTGGGGTCTTTCGGAAGGGTAGTTGATGGCATGCTCGGCTGCAGTTTTGATTCCTTGCCCAATGGGAATTCAGGAAACAGGGCAACGCCTAAGTCTGTTGGCTCCTTGGTTGACGGATGCCACATACGTGCCTTCTGCTCCTGCAAGTGCTGCTACTGCCACTTGGACGACATGGATGTCAGCAGTAGCAGGAGCGGTGACAGCGGCGACGGGCACCGTAACCGGAACCGGCACCGAAACCGTCACCGCTCCCAGAGTTCAAATGCATGCGTAACCACAACCACTACTGCACCCCTGCCTGCTGAGTGAACATGGGCAGCTTCTGGTGACACAGGAAGAGCAAGTTTGGTGGAGCCGGGCGCTTGCGCAAGGAGTTGAAGAAGAGCAGAGCTTCCTCGAGGTTCTTGCAGCCCAAGAGTTCAGAACGATACCTGAAGTTGACTGGCACGAAGGCTCGCTTCGAAAAACAGCACGGCTACACAGGACCTCTACAACTGCTTGACCCCAGGGGGCTGCCAACAGAGTTGAGGCTTTGCTTGGCAAGTTGCACGTTAAAGATTGAGATTGTCTCTGGAGGGAATACCCTACTTTCTTCAGCCGGACCTCTGTTGGACCGCCTTTCCCTTGCATCCGGGCTGTGGAATTGGAATTACGACTGAGCAGCACATGATGACATGACCCATGTCCTGGTTCTCACATCTTGCGAGACATGATTACGGTACGCAATACCCGCCGCCCCTGACCAGAGCACCCAACAAGCTTAAACACAAAACCTGACTGGCTCATAAGCCCACATACGATTACATACGCTACAGCAAGACCCTAGTATCGCACTTCTTTACCGTGGCGATTTGGAAGCCCTGTAGAGCCACTTCAGAAAATCACGCCGTCGGCTCTTAGTCTTCACATAAAGCAAACTGGCTTCCAGTGGCTGCTGGGCTGCGAAATGAGGATCACGACAGTCACTGTAAGAAATCCCGGCAATCCAGCAGATGCTAGGAAGGGCACAATCTCCAACACCTGGTCAAACTGTAGCCACTTCCCGAACCTTAGCTAGGGTGGTTTGCACTCACCTTTCCGGCGGTCTGCAACTACAGCGGAGGTGGGTAGCATGGGCGTGGTGGGTTTTTATGTCGAGATGTGAGTGCCCTGTGGTCATCGTGGCGCTTTTGGCGACGCATGTGGAGCTCTTGCACAAGGGCACTAAAGAGCTAACCGCCACAAGTGCATTCATTACCGCTACTGATACTGTTGCTGCTGCTCGATTTGGAAAGCATACTGGCGCCAAAGGCCGCAGTGGCTACCCCTTACTATCGCATATACTCACCATTTAGTACCGGGGAACATGGAGAGCCACGCCGTCGGGAGCACGGCAGTGAGATTGAGGCCTCGTAAGGACGACGTTGGGGATAGCTTGTGGAACTATACTCGGTGGAATCCGCTACAAGGTGAACGAGGATACTTCATTTCTCACCTGGTGCCTTTCTTAGCCACACACATGCCCTCGGGCTTACAGAATAATAAGGGAATGCAATCTCTCTATATAACATTTTCAATATTCCCTACTGACCCCCTGTAAGTTTGTTGCAGCAACAATGACAAACGAAGTGCAGAGTCAGGCCTAGTCCTTGGTCAGCAGTTTCCACTTTCTCTTCCATCGTCCCTATGTAACTCCAATATATCAAATATATCCCCTAATATTGTATAGGAGTTGCCATTTTCTTTTCCGTTATCCTGTAGATGCCCCAAAAGCCTCCTGGCCAGCTGCAACAACTGAACCCACATGAAGCATTACTCTTACGCTATATGAAGGTTTCCTAAAACTAGAAATACCTTTCGGGGGGTCCCAATAATAAGGACTACACTATTTTGGGCGCTATATTGGGGTTCCCCTGTTTCTGGAAATTACCATATTAGTAGGCTCCATAGCATCCCGGCTTGTCTCGCGTGGCCTACACCTTCCAAAAGGTGATGGCTCAGCTCCAGGTCCCACTGGCCCAACTGCTCCTTCAACATCGGCATGCCCTCGCGCAACATAGGAAAGCCAGGCGACCAAAGCGTCCTCAGCTTGAGCACAGGTGGCTTGTGTCTTCCAGAAACTTTATTCGCATATTGGCCTCTAGTTAGTCCAAATGGGTTGAAATCGTGCAGCGACCCAATGCCTTTGTCCGAAGGTGGCGGTTAATCAATTTCACATTGGGCCCTACCTCACCAGGAAGACGGATCTGCTACCTTTCGTAACCGACGAACGGGGTGGTTGTTGGCACATTACTAGGACTGGGGCGAAAAATCCACCACTCTGGGATTTGGCCTCGAGGTTGCTTGTCTTTGGTCTCAACGACTGCAGGCAGCATGAAATCGTCTGCCGACAACGCAGTCTGTGATTATGAGCTGCGAAGTGTATCCAGAAAGGCTACATTGGGCCAAGCCGCTGGAGATCCGACATGAACTGCAAAAAGCGAAGGTCGGCATCATGCCGCCCTGCATCCAACGCAACTTTGCAGCGTCTCCACGTCTCCACATGAGCATGCAACAAACCAAGATGTAATCGCAACGCACTCCAGCAACGCTACGCGCTTGGACAACGGCAGACAACCGTCGATTTCTGTCTTTCACATTGGGTATTCGTGCCCTGACTTCGATTTTCTTCGGTGGAGCCCTCTGCTTCTTTAAGAGCCTCTACTCCCTGCACTTCCACTCGCTGCATCTTTATTGTGACATGAAGCCGGCCTCCAGACGCACAAGCAACAGCGGCAAGGAAACACATCCCTTGCGTATAGCCCATCTCAGGGTTTCTGCGGGCGTAGCCTCAGCTTGCAGCGCTGATCTAGGGCGACTCCTTCCTTGCAAAACCTGGTAGAATTACTCAGCTGGCAGCTTCGGAGAACAGCCGCCATTTCCAAGCGATGCTGATCAACCTGCTCATTGCCTGAACTGCAATGTTGGAACTCGCATCTGCGACGGGCAGGAGGCCACTTGAGATGCGGTGACGGGCTGCAATGATTGAAAACATCTACAAGGAGTGTCCAGTTTGTCTGAAGGTGTGGGCGAACGGTATAGCATGGCGCTAGGCTAGGGTTGGGTGTCATGTTGGCTGAGAGGCCTGAGGTTTGCCAAGCACACGGCAAACATGCACATTCCCAAGCAACCCGCCATACAATCAATCCTTTTGGACGGCCCGGCCTGAAAAAACTCGAGCAACGTCGCGGGCAATTACTTTTGCGTTATCTCTGAACTGGCTATCGTT